ACTACATTCACTATACACACTGCATTCACTATACACACACTGCACTCACTACAAACACACTACATTTATTATACACACTGCACTCACTACAAATACACTACATTTATTATACACACTGCACTCACTGCAAATACACTGCACTCACTACAAATACACTACATTCATTATACACACTCTGCACTCACTAAAACACACTGCATTCATTATACACACTCTGCACTCACTACAAATACACTACAATTATTATTCACACTCACTACAAATACACTACAATTATTATTCACACTGCACTCACTACAAACACACTACATTTATTATTCATACTCTGCATTCACTACAAACACACTACATTCATTATACACACCCTGCACTGCACTATATGCATAGGAGTGTAATTTTTTTATTATTTTTTTTAAGGGGAGGGAGGGGGGGAGGGGCGTAGGCGGGAATCTTGGGTGAGTTCCCACACTTTTTTACACAGGACTTGACCCCTGGTTACAATCGGTTAACGAGCGCTACACGTCCCTCTCTGTGTGGGCTATTAGGGGGTAGCATGTTTGAAGGGTGATGGAAATATCCCAGAGGGGAGAGAGTGAGAATGTTAGCAGTCCCATGGGGAGCATTAATGTAGGTGCAGCAATGACCCAGGAAGCACTTCTTGAGGCTGAGTGACTTTCACTAGAGATGTTACCAGACAGCAATGTAAACCCTGCCTTTTCGTCTGAAAAGTCAGTGTTTACATTGAAAAGCATGTAGGGACAGTATATAGACTTCAGAAAAAACAACATTAAGCTGTAGTGGTTCTGGTGACTATGGTGTCCCTTTAAGAATTTTATTTTTGACTTTGAAAAATCTGGCTCCTAGATTTCAACCAAATTTGTCATGGGCTATAGACACCAGAACTTCTACATTGTTATATACTGTACATTAAGCTGTAGTTCTGGTGACTAGTGACCCTTTAATATTTTGTAGAATTGATAGGCATGACTGCAGTATGTTTTGGTCAGTTTTTTCCTCAGTATATTTTGAGGATAACTAAAGGGAATCGTTGGCTAAGATGGCATGTATGTATATGTGTGTATGTAAATTAATGCATGAGTTGCATTGATGTTACTTGTTAAAAGATGCACATTTTCTCTATTCTTGTATAGCTGCGAAGCCTGCGGAGTGTCGGAAGCAAAGTACAGGTGTCCTCGGTGTCTGAGATATTCCTGCAGGTGAATGTTTTTGGTTTTTTTAACTGGGGAAGAAGAGTGCAGTGATGGGTTGGGTCTGGAAGGTGGGGAGTAGGGTTGGGTCTGGAAGGTGGGGAGTAGGGTTGGGCATGGAAGGTGGGGAGTAGGGTTGGGCCTGGAAGGTGGGGAGTAGGGCTGGGTCTGGATTGTGGGGAGTAGGGCTGGGTCTGGATTGTGGGGAGTAGGGCTGGGTCTGGATTGTGGGGAGTAGGGCTGGGTCTGGATTGTGGGTCTGGGTCTGGATTGAGGGGAGTAGGGCTGGGTCTGGATTGTTGGGAGTAGGGCTGACACTGGGTTTGGATTGTGGGGAGTAGGGCTGACACTGGGTCTGGATTGTGGGGAGTAGGGCTGACACTGGGTCTGGATTGTGGGGAGTAGGGCTGGATTGTGGGGAGTAGGGCTGGGTCTGGATTGTGGGGAGTAGGGCTGACTCTAGCCTAAGCCTGGCAGGTGGGGAGTAGGGCTGATGCTGGCCTGGGTCTGGAAGGTGAGAAACATAGAATGTGATGGCAGATAAGAACCATTCGGCCCATCTAGTCTGCCCAATTTTCTAAATACTTTCATTAGTCCCTAGCCTTATCTTATAGTTAGGATAGCCTTATGCCTATCCCACGCATGCTTAAAATCCTTTACTGTGTTAACCTCTACCACTTCAGCTGGAAGGCTATTCCATGCATCCACTACCCTCTCAGTAAAGTAATACTTCCTGATATTATTTTTAAACCTTTGCTTAGGGCTTACTCTGGCCTGGAATGTGGAGAGTGGTTGGGGGGGGAAGGATCTGGATCCTGAATTATTGGTGATTGCTTGATAGTGATGAATGAATTTTACCTCTTTCTCCCAAACTCACATTTACAAATTTACAATGTAGGATTTAACACTTGCATTTCATTTTCAAGTCTCCAGTGTGTAAAACAGCACAAAATGGATTCTAGTTGTAATGGAGTTCGAGACAAGACCGAATTTGTTACAATTGGGAAATTTAACGAAATGCACCTCCTTAGTGGTGAGTATTCTTTCTTCACTGTAACATTCGATTCGCTGGTGTACTATCACTGTTTGCAGACACTAACCCACTGCATTCACTAATACTAATACTGCCCCGACTGCATTCAATCTCCCATTGCATTCAGACCCTCACTAGCACTGCCCACATATCATTCATACCCTCACCTGTACAAACTCACTGCCTCCACTGCAATAAGACCCTCACTTATACAAACTCTCTACCCACACTGCATTAAGTCCCTCACTACAAGCAACCTACACCCCCCCACTGCATTCAGACCCTCACTACAAACAACCTACAACGCCCCACTGCATTCAGACCCTCACTACAATATAATCCACTGCAGTCAATCCCTCGCTACTAACAACCTATAACCACCACTGCATTCAGACCCTCACTACAATATAATCCACTGCAGTCAA